ACTACTGCACTCCAGTCTGGGTGGCAGAGCGAGACTCTGTCTCAAAAAAAAAAAAAAATATATATATATATATATATATATGTGTGCGCGCGCACGCTTGTGTGTATATATATGTATATATACATGCACACGTAATACACATATATGTACATACACCGTGGCAATCTTTTTAGACCAGCATGCGCTGATACAATTTAAATTCTGTTGTAGATTTCATTTAGATTAATTCAATCTAAATACTATTACATTCTACAATTAAATAGGCAATGCATTTAAATGATTCAAAGTTCAAAAGCTATGAAAGGGTATAGAACTGACTCTTCCGTATGGTAGCCAGTGGCACACATGTTTATTGAAATCTAAGTGAGGCGGAGTGCGGTGACTCATGTCTATAATCGCAGCACTTTGGGAGGCCGAGGGAGGTGGCTCACTTGAGGTCAGAAGTTCAAGACCAGCCTGACCAACTTGGCGAAACCCCATCTCTACCAAAAATACAAAAAGTAGCCAGGTATGGTGGCGGGCTCCTGTAATCCCAGCTACTTGGGAAGCTGAGGCAGGAGAATTGCTTGAACCTATGGGGGTGGGGACACGGAGGTTGCAGTGAACCAAGATCATGCCAGTTTACTCCAGCCTGGGCAACAGAGTGAGACTATCTCAAAAAAAAAAAAAAAAAAAAAAAAACTAAATGAATTAAAATTAAAGAAAATTAAAGATTTGGTTCTTTGGCTGCATGGGCCACATTTCAGGTGCTCTAAAGCTTCATGCAGCCCTGAGACATTGCCCTCATTACAGAAAGTTCTATTGGTTGGTGCTGGTATAGCCTTAAAACTTCTCTCCCACCCCTCCTGAAAGCCAACCACTGTTAGGGTTTTATTGGTGATTCGTTTCTGAGATGGTCTGTGCACACAGTCAGCACATGGAGTTAATATATCCACTTTAAAGAAAATAAGTGCCTCCTGTGTAGCATGAATGACTGTGTAATAGTCCGTGGAATGGAATTTATTCAGCTAGTTTAATAATGAAGGGCTCTTGAGTTTTTGCCAGGTTTCCGCTCTTACAAATATTCTGCCGTGAACACCATTTTCTCTGCAGAGTAAATTCTTAACAATGGAATTCCCTGGCCACAGGGTTTATATGTTTTTTCTCTTTTCTTCCTTTCTTCCTTTCCTTTCTCTCCCTCTCTTTCCCGCCGTCTGTTCCCTCTCTCTTCCCTCTCTCTTCCCTCTCTCTTCCCTCTCTCTTCCCTCTCTCTTCCCTCTCTCTTCCCACCTCTTTCCCACACTTTCCCCCATGTCTTCTCCCTGTCTCTTTGCCTGTCTCTCTTTTCCCTCTCTGCCCACCTCCCCGCCTTCTTTCTTTTATAAGATCTTCTTCTGTGCAGTGGCATGATCCTAGATCACTGCAGCCTCAAATCCCTGGGCTCAAGCGATCCTCCTGCCTCAGTTTCACAAGTAGCTGGGACTACAGCCTGTGCCACCATGCCCTTCTATTTTTCTTTCTTTCTTTATTTATTTTTGTGTGTGTGTGAAGATGAGGTCTTACTATGTTGTCTAGGCTTGTTTTCATCTTAGTAGGTGCTTTTCTAGGGTTCTTACCCAAGGGTACCTGGTCGAAACTTAGTGAGTCACTTGAAGCCCCTGTCATTCTGTTGAAGTTTTGTGTCTACCCTCCATCCTGTGGAGAAGATTTAAAACTTCCATCCCCTTTTCAAGCAGATCTGTGACTTCAAAAAGTGTACAAATGTTGGGAGGCTGAGGTGGATCACTGGAGGTCAGGAATTTGGGACCAGCCTGGCCAAGATGGTGAAACCCTGTATCTACTAAAAATACAAAAATTAGCTGGGCATGGTGGCGCACACCTGTAGTCCCAGCTTCTCGGGAGACTGAGGCAGGAGAATTGCTTGAATCTGGGAGGTGGAGGTTCCAGTAAGTCAAGATCGTGACACTGCACTAGAGCCAGGGTACAAATAGCAGTTTTAGACTTGTGATCCCACCAGGCATGATTGCTGGGCAACTCTGGCAGTGGATCTCCTGATTCTGCCTCAGTTCCCAGTGTCTTCTCAGAGAGGCCTGGAGTGGAGCATCTGAAGCCGGAGCTGGATCTCTTGCTGCAAAAATACATTCTCTACTTCCAGCTGTGCCGTCAGCCTGGGTTGGGGGAAGATCTATGTCAGGGGAGAGCTGTCCTCCTAAAGCCTCACCTGCCTGGTGGCTGAGACTTACGCCTCATTTCCAGAATTATCAGGGGCCCTCAAACTTCTAGTTGTTTGTTAAATGTACAAGCACAGGTTGCCTCTACCTCCCCGCGGACCTTCCTGCTGGTTCGTATAGAGCTGTCTGCAGCCTGGAAATGTTTGGAGAAATTCTAGTTCCACCTGCCCCAGACTCATCACAAGTACAGTAACAGCTGGAGCTCCAGAACTCCGGAACTTTCTGGAGCCTGTTTCAGCAGACATGAGGTCCCCCCTTCAAGTCCTCTCTGTAACCCCATACAAGATGAAGAAACTGAGGCAGATGAGCTCATGAATACAAAGTGCCAGAGCTTGGATTCAACTTGTCTCAAAGCTTATGGGATTTAAGATTGGTTTAGGGAAGAGTGTTCTGTTCTGTGCCCCCTCCCGCTAGTGTGCAGGGGTTGGGTCCTGGGTTGCCTGGAGACCCCAGGTTATGCCTGCTGACCTGACACATTTACAAGTAGCGTTCTCTTTAACTGCAAAGTGTTCTGGTTTGGGTGAGAAATTCTGTGTTCACCCTGTTCATGTGCACCTTGAGGAAGCTCTGACGAGCACCACACAGCGTCTGGTCCAGACTGGAGAAAGCCATCGCCAGAATGTGCCTGACAGCAGGAAAAGCTGGGAGCAGAGTAGAGAGCCAGCATCTGTTTCTGTAAAAAGAGGAGAAGGGTGTGTCTCTGTAGTTGTGTGTGCACGCATGTACATCCATAAACATGTGACATATCCATACGCATGTTCATACACATGTCCATACACATGCCCATATTTACACATGAACATGCACAAGTAGACACATCTGTATATACATTCATATATACACACATCCATATACATATCTGTACACATGTCTATACAGTCCATACACACATCCATATTCACATACATCCATATTCACATCCAACGTATTCACACATTTGTATTCACACAATCCACATGTAGACATATCTGTATGCATACGTTTGTATACACACATCCATATATCCACTTTACACATACATACGTTCATACACATGCATGTCCATACACATGTCTACATGTAGACACATCTATGTACAAACACATTCATACATACATCTGTGTGCACATTCAACAGAGAAAGTTTTTGCCTTGCTGGCGTTTGCAAGGGCTATGGATTGTACCATAAGAAAGGCTAGTGTACCATCATTCGACATGTCTGGCTGCCATGTGGAGATCAGTTGCCAGTGGCAGGATGGGAGCTGGGAGAGTCATGAGGACATTGCATATACACATCCAAATGTAGGCATATCTGTGTGCACATTTATGTACACACATCCATATATATACATGTCTGTTTACATGTCGATACACACATGTCCATATACATCCGTATTCACACAATCCATGTGTGGGCATAGCTGTACACATTCATATACACGCATTTATATATACACTTCTTTATACACATCCATACACATACGTGTCCATACACATGTGTCCATACACGTCCATATTCACACACGAACATCCACATGTAGACATATCTGGATATACGTTCATATATACACATCCGTATATATACACATATCTGTATGCATTTCTACACACACATCCATATATACATATCTGTTTACATGTCCGTACACACATCCGTATTCACACAGTCCACATGTAGACATATCTGTATGCATACTTTCATATATATACATCCGTATATATACCTCTTTACACATCCGTACCCATACGTTTATACGCATGTCCATACATACATCTACATACAGACGCATCCATGTACAAACACGTTCGTAGGTGCACCTGGGTGCACCCACATGGCTGTATACATACACGTCTATACACACCCCTGTATACACACACATCCATGTAGATACATCTGTACACACATCCACATACATTTGTACACATCTGCGGGGAGCAGGGAAAGAGCGTTTAGTAGTGGCAGTCTGGTAATAGCGAGCGTTGCTTTGACGTCTTTTGGGTAAACTGACCAGCTGGTGGCCATCAGAGGGGTGTGCAGTTGGGGGACTGCAGGTTGGCAGGGCCGTGAAAGATTATATTTGCAGTTGCTCATGGCTTTTCCAGAGAAGCTTCTCTGCGGGGCCGTGGAGTGTGTAGTGAGCTGTCCCCATGATCCATCTGCTAGTGTCTTCCCATGGCCAGGTCTGCACCACTGACCAAAAGAGAAAATTCTGGCCTCGTTGGCCTTCGCAAGGAGTTTGGATTGTACCGTAAGAAAGGCTAGTGTGCCATTATTCGACGTGTCTGGTTGCCATGTGGAGATCAGTTGCCAGCGGCGGGATGGGAGCCGTGAGAGCCAGGAGGATGTTGCAGTGAGACAGGCCGATGACCGGGGCTCCAGCTGGTGAGGCAGCAGAGGTGGCAGAAGTGGTTGATTCTAAACCCATTCCATAGGGACAGTGGACTCCAGTTCCTGATGGATTGAAAGAGGAGGATGTCAAGGAGAGAAGAGGAGTCCCTTGTATTTATGTCTAAATTTGTAACACAGGTTTCTGATTTTGAGAAATCTGGAGTTTAAAAAATTGGGGAAGCGCTGGGTACAGTGGTTCATGCTCGTAATCCCAGCACTTTGGAAGGCCAGGGCGGGTGGATCACTTGTGCTCAGGAGCTTGGGACCAGCCTCACCAACATAGTGAAACGCCATCTCTACTAAAAATTAAATTTGCTGGGTGTGGTGGCTCGTGCCTGTAATCCCAGCTACTTGGGAGGCTGAGGCGGGAGAATCACTTGAACCCGGGAGGTGGAGGTTGCAGTGAGCCAGGATCCCACCACGGCACTCTAGCCTGGGACACAAAGTGAGACTCCGTCTCAAGGAAAAACAAAAACTGGGGAAGGATTGGTGTAGAAGGCTGTCAGCTGGCTTGTCTCCTGCCCTGTCTGGTCCCAGCTCGTGTGATCAGGGCTGGGCCTGCTGGCCAAGCCTGTCTTCCCAGGTGACAATGAAGCCTTTTCAGGGCTGGAGTGACCTGCAGCCAGCTGTGGGTGGTGAGGCCGAGTGGTTCCAGGCGCAGCTGGAGGTGAAACTGGTGACGGGGGGCAGCCCCATTGTCTTTGCTGGGAACGTCACACGGCAGGCGGGCAGCAAGCTGGCCTTCTCCGCATGGCTGAGCCATCCACTGAGTGACCAGGCCCACATGACAGGTAGGAGATGAGACCCCTTCTGCGCCCTCTGTTCTGTGGCCAGGCTAAGGTGTGGTGACCCAAGTGCCTCATTATGCTCCTCATCACCCCAGCCTCTCTTAATATCAACATCCCATCTAAGGGCAGATCGAGGCTCCGTGTGAGCCCCCAGAACCTCCCTCAACCTCCAACTGCATCCACAAACCTTAAAATGGCAGCTTTTGGAGTGTTTTTATTCTGATCCATGATAAGAAACACATGTAACATTTTGACCTAAAATACACTGGGCATTTAAGACAGAGCAGGTGCTGGCCCTGGTGCTGGAGGTGGGGTGGTGGCGCCTGGGTGTGCCTCTCATGGGTGTTCCGGAAGATTCCAGGGTAAAGACAGGAGCTGGGGCTGGGGGTACTTGGAGCAGTGGCTGTCGACCCTCTGATGTGGGCATTTGGGAGTCATAACAGCTGGCTCACTTTCACCTGTGTGTCCTGGCTGAGCTGCTGTGTCTCAGAAGCTTCCAAAGGTGAAATTCACCCGACAACGCACCATGCGCTGTTATTTCTTTTCTCTTCTGTCTTGTTCGATTTTGTTTTTTTGTAGTTTATTTTTGGGCCAGGCGCAGTGTCTCACGCCTGTAATCCCAGCACTTTGGGAAGCTAAGGCGAAGAGGATTACTTGAGCGCAGGAGTTCAAGACCAGGCTAGGCAACATAGTGAGACCACCGCTTCTACAAAAAATACAAAAGTCAGCCAAGTGTGGTGGCACACACATCTGTCGTTCCAGCTATTCGGGAGGCTGAGGTGGGAGGATCGATTGAGCTTGGGAGGTCAAGGCTACAGTAAGCTGTGATCAGGCCTGTCTGTGGCCTGTTGTGCAGGGTGCACATGTGTTGGCTCTTCAAGGAGCCCCCAACGCCAAGGCCCCTCGGTGATTCCCGAGTCCCCTGTTTGTCTGGGGGTGGGGATGTTGGTCCCAGGGGCTGGTCCTCTCATGTGCCTGCTCTCTGTCCCTGCAGCACTGCTGGAGAGGAAGGAGGAGGATGGACGGTGGGTGGCCACCCTGGGTGCCGAGCTCTTCGTGCCGGGTCTGGTGGGGCTGCGTGCCATTGGCCTGCTGCAGCAATGGGACCGGCTCTGGACCAACTACCTGAGGATCCAGTACAGCCTTCTGGGTAAGGTGCTGCGTGCCTGGCTGCAGGGCAGGTGGAGGTGACAGGGCCTGCCCTGTTTCCTAGGGCTGTGGCTCCGTTAGCTAAGATACGCTGTCACCACGGGGTTTTTCCATTAGTCACTCTGTTGGCTCTGAGTAGGACTGAGTACCTGTCCATTAAAAAAAAAAAAAAAAAAAAGGTGTATCTTTTAAGGGGACGTTCACCCCCATCTCTTAAGACCTCCCCATCGTCAGGTTCTAATGGAGTGACGGGTGGAGTAGAGCATGGGGTTGTGGCTGAGGCCAGGCTGGGCCAGGCCCTCCTCCTCTTGGAGCCCTGGTGGAGGGCTGCCTGGCAGAGGAGGGCAGGGGTCTATAGGTTAATCCACACAGGTCAGGCGAAGCAGCCGGCACACGAGTGTAGCACCAGCCAGAAGCTGCAGGCAGAGAGCGGCTCGAATGGCGCCTACAGGCTGGAGCTGGGCCACAAGCTCCACTGCACACAGATCCCAGCCTTCAGCCACAAGGTGGGTGCCCAGGCCAGGTGCGACATCCAGAGAGAGCACCACAGTCAGGCAGGTAGTGATCTGAGTACCCTGAGCTCATCTCCGAAGAGATGGACTTGCTCAAAATCACATAGCCACATGGGAATGGATCCGGGGCTGGAACTTCAGCCTCAGTCTTAGATCTATTCATCCAGGAATGCTTTAGCCCAGGAGGCAGAGGTTGCAGTGAGCCAAGATGGCGCCACTGTACTCCAGCCTGGGTGGGAGAGTGAGATCTTGTCTCTAAAATAAATAATAAATTAAAAACAAACAAACGAAAATAGTGCTTCCTACAGAATCGTCTCTTCTGAAAACCAAGCTGATATCCCTGGAGTGGGTGGCTGTGAGGAGGCATAGGGACTGAGTGGGCAGGGCCTCCATGGGCAGTTCACCACCCATGTGTGTCCCAGGTCCAGCTCTGGCACGAGGAGGACTCGGGCCGCCTGCACTTACAGCTGGAGGTGAGCTATGGGAGGCACTGGGACAAGAACAGCAACAAGAGGCATCTCCGTGTCAGCCAGACCTTCAAGAATGACTCCGGGCCCGCCCTGAGCAATCACTTCATGGAGGTGAGCCTGGCCACTGCAGCAGAGCCGTGCCCCATGAGTCCAGCATGGATGGTGGGAGCTGGGGAACCCCCGCATGGCCCTCTGGCCCTGGCTACAAGGTTGCAGCCAACTGAAACTCAGCCTTGGTGACTTTCCATTTTGCACCTCCAGCGCCACGTCCCCAGGGGTGAGAAACGCTTCTCTTAGGGCCAAGGACTGGCAGGAGGGCTTGGGAAACACAGATTTCCACCTGTAAAAATGTGTTTTGGAAAGAGGGGTTTGCGTTTAGTTTTTCCCTGAGGGTGGGTT